TTCACATTAATCTCAGTGAACATGATGGCAATGTAGATTTACAGGTTCGGCAGGTTTTAGTTTTATTATAAGCTTGGGTTGCCATGATGACTTTTCAAGGGTAAAGAATAACTCAATGTGTATTCATAGGTCAAAAATCATTGCTTAAAACCTCTGAGAATGGAATAGACTAGGTAGAAATGCAAGTCTTGCCTGGCTAAGATGAAATATGCACAGAATAGTGGAGGCTCAGATTCAGTAATCTTCTGAGTCCTGTGGCTTTTGTGAGCCTGTGATGCTTCCCTATATTTTCATAAATTCTTAAAGTTCATCCAGGGCAGGATTCCTGCTTTTTATACATTATCAAGGAAGGCCCACTTGTTCCTGAATCTGTTGATCTTTTCAAGTGCAACACAGATGGCTTTTAGTAGTTAGCTGATCATGTCTCATATCTCTACTGGTCTGCAACCTCTTGTAAAATATCCCAGTTTTAGAGACCTGCAGAAGTGACAAAACATTTCACGTGCCCTTTGCTCATTCACATGAAGGAACTTCCTTCTCTTGGCTTGCTGCTGAATTATGCAGATAGCACCTGTATCAACATCTGAAGGCACACAGGGAGGCTCTTGGAGTTACTCCATGGGAGAAAAAGAACAAATGTGATAAGCAGCCTGGAGCTTTCTGTGGCACATGAAAAAGATGAAAATACCACCAATAAACTGATAAATGGATGTGAAAGTGAATAGAACACTGGACTAAAATTCAAGAGACTTGAAAGTATGTGGTAGTGTGTCCTTTCAACTCAGTCTGTCTAATTTAAATAACAAGATGGGTTGCTTAATTTCAGTGACATGTGAAACCAGAGTTTATACTCTTCAAATAAACCACCACCACTCAGTGTCCTGCCATCAGAAAGCTAAATCATGAAAGGCCATATAGACCCAGGGCCAAATTCTTGCACTAGAACAATTTGGGGATTGATTTGCAGTGATGGGGATATATTTAAGGATGGAAGTTAGTACATTTTCCTGCTAAACAATACAGGATTTTTCATTAGAATTTACAAGGCCTGGTTTTTGGGTTTTTTTTGGTTCATGTGAACATACTACTTGTAACTGTGAGTGCTACAAAAGAATTCTGCAGCATTTAGGACATGGCAGTATGTTGTCAGTTCAATAAATGGGGTTAAATTCAATAAATGGAGGTAAAGAAATTATTGCAAAATTGATGGGGGTCAAGCTTCTTGTCAAGTAGGAAAGGCTTTGCATTGATTTATTTTCATTTTTTGATAGTTTGCCTGTACTTTGACATTCCCTGGAACAATTTATGTTACTACAGGCACAGTATAGAGCTGCATTTCCTGCCAACTCATACCCTGATCTTAAACAAAACCATTAGCAGTGTTGAACCTAAAGCAGAAGCAATAGTCTTAGTGAAGCTATTTAGAAGAAATACTTCTTTTATTTAAAAAAAATACTTGAGATTATCGTGGTGCTGTATTTATGTAATGGTGCTGTCACTGAGGGCTATATTTCTATTATTCATATATACATCCAAACTGTGATTTAAAATGTATGGATTAATCATTTCAGCAGAACATGTATTCTTTGCCTAAAGATAGGGCAGATGATGAAAATATTTATTTTTAAAAACATACAATAGCATAAGAATTTGGACATTTAGCCTCTCAATGATAAAACAAATTACTGTTGGTTCTGCAGCTAGTGCAATTCTATAAGAGGATGTTGCTGACTAACTTGAATTTATTCTGCTGTGACAATCCCAGAATTTTTGAGGGGTTTTTTCATGTAATATTTTATTTAATGTTGCATTCTTTGTGAAAGCCAAGTAAGTTGAACAAGCTGTCCTGCAGATTTGTGTGTCCACTAGGCAGCCTCCTTCTCAGTTAGCCTTAGGAATAACGCCAAAAAGCAAGATGGAATCAATTCTTCCTGAAGATAGTTGTGTATAATAACCCTGTCTGCCTCTTTATTTTTCTTGGTGATACTCATTTTAATCCTTCTAATGTGTTTACCATTAATTCTTTTTAATGTAAGCTTTGGATGTCATAAAATAAATCAAATAACTTGGACAAAAACCCAATACACTATTTCAGCAGGGTTGCCTCTATCAAATACAACACCTCTAATTTTTTTTTACCAAGATCTATGTTCTGTAAAGTGCTATTAGTTGTTAATTATATTGCCAGCCACTGTTTTTGTGGGAAGAATCCTGGATTTATCATGCCATTATTTGATCTGGTACTGATGTCAGGATAACTTAAGTACAGACCCTTGGCTGCCCGTCTTCATGTTTTAGTAAAACAGAATAGACTAATCAGTTATTCAAAGCTCTGGAGTTTCCAAACCTTTCAGAAATTTGAGAACTATTATAATTAGGAAATTTCAATCAGTTGTTTTTGAGACTGTTTTTGTGTGCATCAGCCGGGACTGGTGACTTGATAACACATCTTCTTTACAGAGGCCTCCTCACATTCTCTTCTGCTTAACACAGAATGCTTTTTATTCTAGTGGTGTCCTCAAATCAATAATATGGCTCTTCAGGGTGGCTATTTGTGCCCAGCTGAGAGCTTTCCACATGATACTACTGTTTGTTTCAAATTAAATGAGAATTTCTTTGAAGTAAGAACTCTGCTTCTCTGAATGTCTTTGTGAAATGTCAGAGGTCCCTGAACCTCCTTGTGGTGAAGGCACCAAGATAATAAAACAAATCCATCAGCTGTGCAGATGGATGAGGCTAAGGACTCGGTATTGTCTTCTTTTGTAGAATTTCTGACTCTACGTAACAAAAACTTAAAAAACAGGTTTTTTTCATGTATGTTCATGGCTCTTAGTTAATATTTGAGCTATCAATGAAAAAAATCATCATCATGTGGTGTGACAATCAGCTATCATATTATACAGCCTGAAAAATATTGGAATGAGATTTCGATATTAATTACTATGATTACTTTTGAAGCTCTGTGTTTACATGGGATTTTGATATAATCTTTTACCTGCAAATCTCCATACATTTTGCAAGTATTGATTTGATTTATCCACTTCAGGAGTTAACTACTGAATCCAAGTTCAGAGAGAGGTATAATTACTGTCCAGAAAAACCTAGCTTTTCACGAGGTCTGACTCAGTTTTCTGTTCTGATTGATTAAATTTTCTTCTAACTTTAGAAAAAAGGCTTTCATTTATGTCTCTCACAGCATTTGCCATTTTAAATGTTGTTTCACACCTTGTGAAGGACTTGAAGAAGAACCTTAGGACTGTGTAATTTGTGGTCCTCTTAGGAATTTTAAGGGAAAGTTCTTTTTTTGAGTGAATTGATTTTGGTAGGATTAGTTAATGAGGCACAGTGCTATAAATCCTGTTGTCAAATGACATGTAGGGGAGTAGATAAATGAGATGAAGTAACATTCTGTACTTGTTTGGATTTGGGCAGCACATTAGTGTCACGTGTGGGGTCAAAATGCATGGTTTGGAGCACTCCTGTTCAATGTCTCTGGGTTATTTATGCTGTTTCTCATAATGTGGTTCAATCATAACTAGGGACAGCTCTTTAGCCAGACAACTTCATTTTTCTATAATACTCAGCACTGTGATCCAGTGTCATTGGAGATTTCCAGTGCTGGGGTTCCTAAAAGAATACATGCAAAATAGCCTAAAGGAAGCTGCACAAACTACCATGTTCTGTAATTGGTAACCTGAAACCAAATAACTGTCTATGAAGTGCTGTTCCTTTTTATTCAAAATGAATAGTTGAAATACTTCCTCTTTAAAAGGAGCTGCTGTTAATTCCACAGTTCACAATCTGATTTGCCTTCCCAAACAGCAGCTCTAATAATACTGTCCTAAACTACATCAATCCCACCCCATTTTCCAGCCATGGTCCTAAAATAGCTTAGTGAGCTCTTCAAATGAGACTTCATTAATTTTACAGAACATACCAGAGGATATTCACTAATGCTGTATATCTGGAGTTCCTGTGGAGTCAATTAAAATAGAGCTACATTTTTCTGAATAAGTGAAGCATTTTTTTTATGATCACATAACCTTTTTCTCTAGTCATGTTTACTTCCCACTTCATAAAATTCAGGGATCTGTAATGAATATCTCAGGCATTACTGAGGATCAAGGAAGTTCTTTTGTGTTTCCTTTAGGCTTAATTTAGAACTTTTCTTATTTTTTTTTCCATTGTTATAATAAAATTGTTTCATTTAATTAAGTATAAATCTCTTACATGGGTTTTAAATAATCTGAGAGAATCATCGTTTAATCTATTCAATCTTGTTACAAATAGTGGAAAATTTGGAACTTTTTTAACTGTAGTAAATGTAGTAATGATGTAGTAATTGTGTGTTTCTTGGTAATTTTGCAGGTTTTGATATTATCAAATACAAAGTATTTTTCATAGAATGAATCCCAGTTAATTTCAGATTTCTTTTCTTTTATCTTGAGGTGTGTTAGATTATTTTTCTCACAAGAAATGATAAATCAAGCGAGTGGAAAAAGGAAAATGTTGCAACAGTTCATTCCATAGTGTTTTAAATGTTTTGCAGATGGACCTACTTAGCTTTAGCCCTCCTTTGCTAACATTCAGTTCACAAGAAAATTCAATATTTTGCGGCCCATCATGAATCACACAGAATATGGACTGTCCTAAAATAACCATAACTTTGTCCATCCAGTCACCAGATATACAGACCAGTACAGGAGTTTTGTTGGAATCACTTCTAAGATGACATGTGAATAGGATGTCCAACAAAATCTTTTGGTTTTCTGCAAAACTTTACTTCGGTATATGGCCAAAACATAGATGTACTGAATGAGATGAGCACGCTATATGGCATAAACTGGTAATTTTTAAGCTCATAAGGCAAATCAACAAAACTGTCTTGTTTTTGTGTGTTGTAATAAGGATACTCTAATTAATTTAACATGCTGGTTCTCTCTACAGATGTATTAAATTCTCAGTGTGCTTGCTAACTGCTTATTTTTTTGTCGTTGCAGATACAGCAGTGGTTTATAAAACCAGGAATGGACATGTTGTTGAACTGAACGTAGAAACAAATACAACTACATTATTACTGGAAAATACAACTTTTGTAAGTAATATATATTACCTGCTTTCTCAGTGGAAGTCTGCTTACATTTTTTTTTTTTTTGTAACAGGAAGGAGAGAGTACAATTTATAAAATTTAGAGTAGATATGTTCATAACCTAGACAATATTACATATAAATGAAAAATATAATTCATTCCTCTGTCAGTGAATACTTTCTGAATGAAGTTATTAGTTGTTTTATTCAACCTACGTGTAAATAACCAAGATGTTGGAGGATTTGCTCTTGGCTGTGCTTTGTCCAGACCATCTGAAGGATGGATCACGCTTGGTGTATGTGATGGGGAATCTACCTGATGTCTGTTAGGAAAAAAATATTTCATAAAAGGTGGGAATGCTGCTTAAATATTGAGAGTTTTTCACTATTAGATAAGGGGGAAATTGTTCAAGATTCATAGGAATATTTTCCTTAAGGGAAGTAATTACAAGAAATGCAAAGAAAAATGTCATGTTAATCTCTGGTTTAGCTGTTTCTCTGTGTTTTAATGGTAGACTAGATGATTGAGGATTATTCCTCTTGACCAGTAAAGGTTATGTACATGAATGGTTTCTGACTAGCAGTAATTGCTAAGAAGTACTTTAATACTTTAGTCTGCATTTTCTTTTGCTTTGCTTGGTGCTGTTATTCTCAGGGATACCACTTACATTTCACCCTGTAATTCTCGTTTATCAGGGTTTTGCAGCATAATTGTGTGGCTTGCCAATCTTTCCACATAAATACTCCTGCAGACCACTGGCTGTTATTGTTAATCCCTGTACTTTTAATTTAATAAAATCTTTTACACCTGCAGACTCAAAAGGATGATTCATTTTCATCAGCATTCTTTGGCAAAGGCTGATTTTATTCCTGGTCTGTTTCTGGCCTTTGCTGATAGAGATTCCTCTTTTCAAAGCATAAAGCCTCAGGTGACCTTTACTTCTAACTCCTCAAACAAGAAAGAGGAGAGTAGAACTTCAGGAGGAAGAATTTGATGCTGATTTCCTGGGTCAGTGTAAAGATGGAGGAGAGAATTATATTTTAATGTTCGTGTGTGATTCCCCTTTTGTGAGCTGCATCCTTCCAAACGCTGGGATGTGCCTCAGGGTACCTCTTAGCCCAAAAAAGGCTGCCAGACACAATTAAAAGTGGGTGGAAGGGTGAGTTTCTGTAAAGTACAAAGCCTAAAGCATTAAGAAGCACTTTCCCTGTTCCCCATTTATTCCAGTGTGTGTGAGCACTTGCCTGGCCAGCTAGGCCTGGGTCAGGCCTGTGCGAGGCCTTCAGCGCAGAAGTTGAACACGAGCAGCTGCTTGGGCATCCCTGGCTGTAAAACGTGACTTTAATGACAAGACTTGAGTCTCCTCACAGAGGAATTCATGCACTTTTGGCTGGAAGTGCTGCAGAGTGTGGTGCCAGCATGACTATAGAGCTATTTCAGGCCATTATGCCACACCGGCCTTGCCAAGTGACGATGGGTTGGGAAGGACAGGCTGCTTCACACTGCGAGTGCTGCCTCGGTTTGTAAAGTTGTTCTTCTCTGGGCTTTTTATGGAACTAATTTATCCTCAATTCACACAAGCCTAGTGAGCTCTAGATACTAGATACCTAATATTAATTAGAAATGTGGGAAACCGATGCAAAACAGATAATATTCAAGCAGCCATTTAGCAATTATGGGTGGAAAAAATAAAAAGCTAAGTGTATTTTTTTTCCTGCAGAGCTCCTCTCTTTATGTAGCCAAAAGTTGAGAGTGTTATACTTAAAAAAAACGTCAATTCCAGCAATTAGTATTCATATGGAGGAAGTATAAGAAAAAGCTGAAAACAGAGCAGAAGGCCCGGCAAGTTTGTTGGTGTATGTTTGGAACAGTGGGAAATGTTCTGTTCTGTCTGTTGACACGGTGGCCAGCAATTCTAACAGGATAACATTACTGAGGCAGGCTGAAATCAAAAGCTGTCCTATTCTTCTGAGCTTGACTGTCCCCAAATTTCCACTGCTAAATGTAATCTTCTAAAGTTAGACACCTGGATCATTAATCAAACATTTTCCTCATTCAGTGTCACATCTGCTTAATCATCAGTGCATAATTAGAATGGTGGTGGTTTAATGACTCTGCAGACACGTCTTGGATTAATAAAAAATACAGCAGAGATCCAACACAGGCAGTGGCAATGCAAGTTCCATCATTCTTCCCTATCAAAGGTTTTTAGTCACCTTTTGATGGGAGTTATTAGTCTGATTTTAGTCTTCATTTGCTCTCCTGTTTGCCTTTGCTCAAGCAGCCATGGAAATGGCAGGGTTTTCTTAGAAATGTTGATAATTGTCCATGGAAAATTGAACTGCTGTGATAAACTCCTTGTGCAGAGGCAAGGGGCAAGTAATGACTCTTTGTCACCCCTGATTGGACTATGTTCGAATCAGCAGCTCAGAGGAGATTTTCTTTTTTTCCCCCTCATTGCTCAACCCCTGAAGCAATCTTCCATTGAGCACAGATCACTGGCTCTTCTTTTGCATCCTAGAGACTGCCACTCTCCTGCAAAGTACTCATCTTTTATCCTTCTTTGTGTTGCTTATTGTGTAGAAGCCAGATATCCCTAATGAGGCTCTGCTGTGCTCACTAAGTAGGTGTATCATCAAAAAGGCAGGTTGCAGTTTTTAAAAAAACCTCTATGTTAACATATATATAAAGATAACAAAATCCCCCAATCTTTAAAAATACCATTAATAATATTCATGCACCTGAAAAGAGGAAAGGCTAGTGTTTTGTCATTCTAGGCTGCCCACTTCTTTTACACAGGGGAAGTATCTATCCCAAGTTCCTGAATTAAAGTACTGCTTTCCAGTATATCAGGTTGTATTTAGAAGAAATTCTTGCACTTCATCAGTCCTTCTGGAATGGAATACTTTTCTGTAGTCAGTTAGTAAAACACTCTGGCCTTTATATAATTAAACTATCAGCAAAGCAATGTTACAGGTAATAAATACAGTGCCATAAGTGAAAAGGGTAGGTTGCAAAGCACAAAGAACATTTGTTAACATCTCTGGGTGTTATTATTTAAGGATGTTCTCTAAGACACATTTTCCTCTGGCTGTATCCATGTAGTACCTCCTGTTTCAGCTATCTAATAAACAGTTAATATCCTTAGCCAGCGGCATGTAAATGTTCACAGCTGGAGGCTGGGCAAGTCTCCTATTAAGAGGAGCCAGAAAAAGCCCTAGACATTAATCACTGTGTGGCATCCTGGTGTTTGAGATGCTGCCTCAATACATGATTACAATATGTTCTCTATCATCTATCTGGGCTGCCTATTACCGTGATCCTAAGTGACAAGCCTGCCAGTTTTTCAGCATTTGTCAATACTTTATTGCACTTTACACTTCCAAAATCAGTGGCATTATGCCACATTTAGCTAAGAAATTTCAGTATTTAGTAAGTATTTTATTTAATGCTTTTGCCATTAGCTGTTCCATAAGGTCAGTAAGAGCAGGTTACCAGCTCACACACAGCCCAGCCACAAGCTGGAGAGGAGAGCATGGAGGACCACATGTATTCTTTAGCTCAGGGAAAGCTGTCCATCTGGTTCCATATTCTAACTCAGCTTCTCAAGTCTGTTTTACAACCCTTAAACGCAAAACAAAATGGAAAAAGCAAGCACAGAGAGTATAGGAAGTATGTGTGGGGACTGTGTGTTCTACTATGGAGCTTTCCAAATGTATTGAATTCTCTGAAAGACACCTGCAGAAGTTTTGCCTTCATTTCTCCCTCTTAAAAAAGCTGAAATAATTATGAAAATGGTAAAACTTTTGTTAGCCCTCAGTTTTGCTGCTCTTGTGGTGCATATATGCAGATACCATGCACACACCCTAACAAAGAGTATCCTCTGTCAGGAATGAGTCTACTGGGACTCCTCCAGTCTTTTGAGTATGGATGATGGGATATATTTTGTATCTGTTGATTTATTTTCACTACCAGGCAATACAAGTGGAATTGTTTTCAGCTTGTGAGCTCTAGAGTAGGGTGCTGTATTTACTACAGCTTTCTCCCAGCTGTACACTTCAGACTCTTCTAACACCCAGTAATTCCTGACTTGCTATGCCCCTTGATTTCTGTGCCTTTCCACAGCTCTTTTCAAGCTCAAAGGGAAACTGCATCGTGGCGCACAGCAAGCAATTATTTCTGAGTTTCACACCTGTTTGCAGAGGCTTGTCAGGAGCGTACCCTGGAGCCTGTTGTGTCACTGTGGACCATCCTGTACACAAAGGTGGAGAGGGAAGGACCTTGCTGCCTGCTATTGGCGTCAGAAGGGTGACAGAGCAGGAGCAGTCTTGGCTCAGGGATCACGGTCAGGCTGTGGCAGCCCAGCTGTCAAAGCCCTGTGGAGGCCTTGCAGCCAAAAGCAGAGAATGAGAGCTTCAATCCAAGAGAACTTTTGGCAGGGACTGTTTCGTGGTGTTTTACAGAATGTTGCTCATAAACAGCCCTACTTGTTCTCTTCCTTTTGATACTTTTTTGGGTTTTTTTTTGTGCTCCCCACCACCACACCCCCTCCCTCTTTTGACAGGAAACTCAGTGCAGCGTCATAATGCAATTACAGTTCCTTTTGTTGATTAATGTAGATTTAATTGCAAGAGTAGTTTACATGCTTATATTTTAAGAACCTTGCATAAGAGATTAATGAAAGGGTGAATAATAGTAAATACATTAAATAACATTATATAACCACATAAATATTAACAGTTGTTACAACACTGGACATTTTAATGACCCACACATTGTAAATAGGTAGTTATGAATATTGTAACATTCTCTCTACTCTCCCATGGTCCTCTAAGTGTCCAATAACCCTCTCAGCACAGCCTTTTCAGTAGAGGGAATTATATGAGGAAAGGTTTATTGCAGTGCACCACTGTGCATCAAGGTGGGAAAGCTTGGCAGATGGAAGGGTTTGCAGTCATTGGTTTGGTGGTGGCCATTGGTTTTTTGTCCAAGTGAAGCAGCTTTCA